ATTTTATTTTTTAAGATAAAATTATTGCTAAAAAATTTAATGCATTTTGTAAATGTTAAAAAAAATTGCGTACTTTTGCTTTTGGGAAAGTTTAATTGGGTTTGATTTTTTTTTTTTTAAAACATTTTATACCCATTTAGATTAAAAACGCTTGAAAAGTGAAAATAGCTTAATAAATATTTTTAAATTTTCACTAAAGACCAAAAACAAAAAAAAAACAAAATCCAAATAGATGTATGTTTTTGGCATATGCTAAATAGGATAAATTATGTTTTGAAAAATAATAATAATCTTCTCATTTTATCAACTAAATAAGCTAAAACTAAACAAACAATTTTAACTTAAATAGTCAAAAACTTATATATATATATATATATATATTTTTATAATACCACATACATAGACAGTGATAATATTCATGAACTATAACTTAAAAGATGAGAGTTTTCTCAAGTTTATATATGAATTTGAGAGAATTTTAGAGGCCCGTGAGGTCTACCATGGATCCTATTTTAATAATAGAATGGTTCATTTTGAAAAACTCTCTACATGTACAGGATCGGCCTTGTGACAAGTCTAGCAAGGCGGCCTCCTCAGGGCTCTCAAATTTTGCCTAAAAAATACTGCCCCGAATGATTTAGTTCTTATGTTAGGTTTTGATTCATTGAAATAAATTGAAATGAAATAACATAATATTTTTTTTCACATTCGGCTCACTAAAAAATTGGAAAAAAAAGAAGAAGAGGAAATAGAATCATCATTCATCTTTATGAGAGAGTAGTCATTTTATAGAGAAGCTGATGAAAGATAACATTCTATACAATTTCATCCAAGTGAATCAAACGTTGCATTATTGTATTAGTAGTTTAAAAAATAAATTTCATTGACATTTTTTTAAAATAATTGAACGGCGAATTATTTAATAGCAATGGATGATTATTTGCTAAATGTATGAATTGTTTGTCGACTATAGTAGTTACAGTGCCTGGATAAATATATTTTTTTTATTGAAATTAATCAAATTTTACATTTCATACGTTATGTCATTAAAAAAAATAACAAAAAAAATTGAATAAATTAACGTTAATCATTGAAAATGTCCAGAATCAATTTAAATAATTATGATTTATGTCTATGGCCCTGTTTGGTAGGGTTTATTTCCAGCTTATTTTAGCTATTTTGATATGTTTGGTTTAGCTTAGCAATACAGCTTATAGTTTTTTGTAAGTCAAAAATCAACTTATTCTTTGAGTGAGGGAGGAAAAACTTAATTTATAAGTCAAAAAACAGCTTATGTTCACAGCTGCTGTTAGGTTATAAGTTATAATCACTTTCCCACGGCTCTACCAAACGGGACCCATATCAATAACTATGATTTATGTCAATTATGAAATCATACGAACTTATTTAAATATAATATTATAATTATTGTGAAAAAAATTATAATCGAATTCACTAATGCAATATTTTAAATTAAATTTGTCACTTAATATTTTAATTATTTTACTTTCATAACACAGTTAAATATAACTAATAATTTTAGAATTTATATATGCAAGAAAATTGTGTTGGTACAAGCCAAAAAAAAAAAACGCACACACAAAACACAATATATATATATTTTAAAATATGTATAAAGACCTCGGGTGTTTGGTTTGGTTTTGGGAGATAAATTTTAAAAAAAAAAATTGGGAGAGAGTTTAAAAAAAAATTTGGTTTGTTTGGTTGTATATTTTGAAAATAGTTTTGGAGTATGAGAGTTTGACATGATTTGATATTTTGTTATTGAGTAGATGTGTGTGAAAGAAAAAGTGATTGAGAATGAGAGAAGAGAGAGAAAAAGTGATTGATTGATATGTAGGAAAGAGCAAGTGATTTTGGAATTTTTTTTTCAAAACCATTAAACCCAACAAAATTTAAAAATTTTTTCTCTAAAATTACTCTCTCAAAAGCAAACCAATCAAGGCCCCCATTTTTTAAATTTGCCTTGGGCCTCTGCAAAGTTAGGACCAATCATGTCCATATATATCACCTATAAATAAAAAATTAAATTGATCTGATAATCAGAACATTTATATATTATCGCGGTTATTGTCTTCAAAAACATAATTGTTTATTTTAGAGACAATCACAATAAAATAAAAAAATATTACAATTATCAAATTGATTTAATATTTTTTATAAATGATATACATTGATAATCCTGTAAAATTAACTATCAAATCATTCAAATAGAATCTATGATGAAGCCTTACAAGGCTCTCAAATTCTCTTAAATTCAAATTTAAATATGACAAATGGGACCAACCTAAACTATCTGAGAGAAAGAGGAGGGGAGGGCTTGCCGCTTCCGCTTCTATTCTCTTCTATTCTCTCCTCATTTCGTTTTTTTTTCACCAAATTAAAACGATGACGTTTTTATCAAAACGACGTTTTTTCTTACCACTTCACAAAAATTTTAAAGAACCAAACTTTCTATATTTGGTTGAGGAATTTGGAGAGGGAAATGGAAAGAAAAATGGAAAAAATAGGTGAAATGTGAATAAAATATCCTTATATTTCACATAGTTTCACACACCTTTTCTTTTTTTCTTTTCAAATCCCTTCTCAAATCCCTCAACCAAACACAGCATAGCATAAAGGGTTTGAACACGAGAATGGGGCAAATCTTTTAAGGGGATTGCGTTTTTGTTCCCACCCATCATTTCACCGATATTGTGGTTGAAAGACCTTTTTATAGCATAGGCATGGCATGACCCCTTTTTTCGTAGAAAAAATTGGTTATCTTCGTGAAAATTTGCATATTTCAACGCCAACCCACTGACTAATTTGATGTTAATTTGATGTCAATTGAAGTCGTCATGCACATTCTACCTAATTCGTCAAACAATCAAAGTGCTAACAGTCCTAGCATGACATAACATAAATAAATAAATAAAAATCCAACATGATATTTAGATTGGAAGATTTGAAAATTAAACTAAATAGAATGTACATTTCTAAATTAATTAAAATAATTAATTATTTCTTTGTCCCGTGGTGGTTATTTTTTTTTTCTTCCCACAAGATAGTCTATACTATGCTAAATTAGATTACAACGCAGACCAACATCTCTTCATAGATTCAAATATAAAATCTCATTCACTTTAACACTTAAGTGCCATCTCCATGATCAATTAGGCAATTGTTTGGGTCCCATTGTGATTATGTTGTTATGAACGTTAAAATTTTACAAACTATTACTAATCATTGTGATATTATTCTTAAAAAACATACTGCATACACCATTAAAGTTCAAGTTCCTAAAACACATTTACATTATTTTCAATATTTATTAGCTTATTCTTATTAGAGTTTTATGAAATTAAAAACTTATCTAAGTCATTTAAGCTTATACTGATCCCTCCACTTGAATTTGTCTAATGCCTTAATTTTGACCCCTCAAGTAATACTATAAAAATAAAAAATTCATACATAATGATGTTGCTCATTATAAATCTTTCACTCCAAAACAAAATATCATTAAGGATAAGTTTCTTTACACTAACCCTGTGTTTGGTTGAGGGATTTGGGGAGAAATTTAGAAAGAAAAAGGAAAAACGTATGTGAAACTAGGTGAAATATAGGTATGTTTTATTCACATTTCACCTACCTTTTCCATTTCCCTTTTCAAATCCCTCCTCAAATCTCCCAACCATCAAATCTCCCAACCAAACACAGTATGATGATATTGCCGCATCATTCTTGTAAAATTTTCTGTATAAATCTTTTGTATGAATAGAGTTTTTCTAATGAAATCTAGAGCTCTGCCCCTACCATAAGCTAACCCCAGTAGTTTGCACTTTTTAAGATTTTTTTTTTATGCATTATCTGATGCAGTAATTGCTTTCTTGGCATGCTAACCATACTTGCAAAGACAATATTATACTGACAGAAAAATACCTTATTTTAATACATGGTTCAAATTGATTTAAAATATTATTTTTACCAAACAAGAGTGGAATCTCAATCATATTTTATATCTCTCGGGTTACCTTTGTGGCATAGATTCTATGTATATAGCTTTACTGATGTGGAAATACCATAATTTGCAGTGAAAAAAATCTGTGGTTTATCTTTCAGCACTGTTTTTAGGTTTGGATATTCTTTTCAAGTTGATCAAACTATTGAGTTTCTCCATTCTGTTCAGCTGTTATAGCTAGCAATCCTAGTAATTAAGTCCGCATTTAGAGACAGAGTTCAAATAACAAGGAAAAAGCTTCGGAACCCAGTGGGGTACTGGGGGTCGCGTGTGATCGGTCCAAAAAAAAAAAAATTTTTTTTTTTTTTTTTTTTTTAATGTTTTTCACCAACCCCATGCTGCCACATCACTGGGGGTGCGACCCCAACTGGGGTCCGAAGCACGGCTCAAATAACAAAAGGCTCACTTGCGAGTGTAGCTTACATTTAGATATCAACTAAACATGCATGAATAAATGAGATTAACAAGTAAGTAGTTGGGAAACAAGAAGCTGAAAAAAAGGATTGAAATTCATGAAAGAAGTCACTAAAAAGTCTTTACATATTTGTATTTTTCTCCAATATGTGTGAGAGACTACTAGTTCAGTGGTTAAAATTTTGACCTATGAACTTTGAAGTCTGTAAAAATTTGACCGATCAACTTTAAAGTTATGGGTACAAACCTAAGAGCGGTAACTTGGGCAAATTATGCCAAAGGTTAAATCCGTATTCAATCTACCCTTCTCAAACTCCAAGTTGGGGAAACGAAAATATACGAGTATACTTGTAAATTTGAACTGCCAAGCCTTCCCTATCAAATGTGACCCACAAACCAAAATTATTCCTCCTACTTTGTGTTTCCCCAAAAGTACCAAGCTTTGCAACAAATTTTTATTTGCGAAAACCTCTTTCAGACAAACTTGATAGAAAATCAAAGCTCTTGACGTATTAAATCCATATTAGGGCTGAAATGAAACAATGCTGTTGAATAGCACATGCAATCAGGAATATTTGATGCTCTTATACTTCACAAAAACAAAAACAGAAAAAGACCTAAATTCAAATTTTAAACAAAATCAGAACGAGCAAATTGGCTGGAGAGTTTAAAGCACAGCAATGGCTCAGAAAAAGAAACGAAAAAGTGAAGCATTCGAGTGTTTGTGAGCGCGCGTGTATGCGCGCGTGTGCACTTCTTTGCGTTTGTGTTTATCCATTTAAATAATAATTATTAACTTAATATTACAACTAAACCAACTGAATTACTTTACATCTCTATTGATGGCAAACGTTTAAAAAGCTCTTAAAACTACTTTGATGCTAAATGTTTGTTTTTCTTGTTGCCTCTCTTTCTCAGACTACTACTTTCAGGCCCTTCTTCCTCTTCAGCCTTCTGCTCCGCCTCTAAAATGGCCAACTGCAGTACGTGCGTAAACACGCACAAACAAAAAGATATATCTCAATGTAAAATCTTAATATGTTTTGATTCTTTTTCAGCAGCTGAAAAGCCCTCAGGGCTTAAACGCAAAGGTTTTACCTCATCAAGGATTGGTTTCAGCTCCTTGTATCGAGCAACGGCAAGGTCAAAACCATCTTTACGTAGCTCCTGTGTTGGCCCACAACAAAAATATTACAAACAGTAGGTAGGATACACTTATAAGGCAATACTTAAATTCATCGTTTGAAATTAGAGAATAAGAAGATCGTAGAGGATTACAGAGGGTAGCTAGCAGGGTGTTTCTTAAACCAACTGCAGTTCTAAATATATTGGTCAAGTCAGTCATTCAAAAACTATATTAGATTTTATGGAAAAGAATCACACTGGTCAATATATATCACCCACGTTCAATAAATCTCCATATCTAAACTTCTTAAACCACAAATAAAGAACAATTTTATATAGGGCTTATTACACTTTCTACCCCTGAATTATCGCCAAATTATTGTTTAGTTCCTAAATTATCGATTGAGTCTATTAAACCTCTGAAGTATATAAATCAAAGTCTACTTAGTCCCTAAACTATCAATTGAATCTATGAAGTCCCTAAATTTTTTAATTCAAATCTATTTAGTCCATGAAAGAATTACAAAAATAAAATATAAACCGATAAGTATTACAAATTAGTAAAAAACCCTACCTAGTGAAAATTTTATTTAAAAAAAACCTTAAAATTTTATTTTATCTTCTACAATGGCTACTAGATTGCCTTTATCTAGTATTATATGCCAAATTTTGTTTACAATTTCTAATTGATTGTCTTTAAGTTTTTTGTTAAATTCTATTTATAACTTAAATAATGTATTAGTTTGTTCTATTATTATTTGTAGCGAAGTGTTATTACTTAAATTATTTAATTCTACTTCTTCAATATATCTAATACTCGTATAATTTTATTGGTAAGGCCAAAAAACCAAGTTCTGATGTTAATTTAAACACAAAGCAAAACAAAAAACTTTTAGGACAAAGTAAAAATTTAAGATTTTTTTTTTTTGAATAAAATCTTAACTAAGTAGGTAGGGGTGGGCAACGGTTTATCCGAACCGTTCAAACCATCGAACCCGCCCAACACGCATATAAATGGGCAGTTTCGCAAACATAATGCGGGCGGATGCGGTTTGAAATATGACAAATTTGCGGGTTGCGGGCGGGTCACGGGTTAAACCCGCAACCCGCAAAACCGCCCGCACTTTAATTATTATTATTATTATTTTTTTTTTTTATATACCAACTTTGTAACTTTAACAAGAGCACCATTATGTTCTCTATGACACTAGGATCCTTATTTTTAAGTATTTCTCAACTTTCTTAATGCTGTAAAATTATCAAGTCCTAAACTTGGTTCTTATATGATTTTCATTGGTGATTCATCCACTTTTTCCAAATAAAATTTTCCTTCTGGTGGTCGATGGAATTTCTAGTTTGATTATTGATTACTGAACTGGCAATTCTAATTGAGTACAACCTTTAATGCATTGATATACATTTTTTTCATAGAAAAAATGTTAGTGTAGGGTCTCTTTGTTTTGGATACTTTCATTTAATGTATTGATATTCAATTTTTATTTGTAAACTCATCAGAAATTTGTTGTCAAATGATCACAAATATATAGAATGAATCTGATGCTTAAATTCGATGGGAAAAAAAAAACTCAAAAATTAATTCTTAAAGAAAAAAGTGTAAACCGCCCGCAACCGCCTACACATATGCAAACCCTATCTGCACAAACCACAAACCGCACTGCGGGCGGTTGCGGGTTGGCTTTTTTCCAAACCGCATAGATGCGGGCGGGTCAAAACCGAACCGCAAACCACACAAAACCGATCCGCAAACACCTCTATAAGTAGGGGTCTTTTTATTAATTTAAAATACTTATGGATTTATTTTTTATTTTTTTAATTCTTTCAAGGACTAAATTGGTTTGATTACATGTTTTAGGGACTTAATAAATCCAATTGATAGTTTAGAGACTAAATAGATTTTGATTTATATACTTTAGGGACTTAGTAGACTGAATCAATATTTTAGGAACTAAGTAGACAATTTGACGACAGTTCAAGGGTAAAAAGTGTAATAAACCCTTTTATATAAATTGATGTATTTATTTACTGATATATTGATATAGATTGATGTTTTGATGTATTACAAGATTCATTTATTACAATTCCTATACAATCTATATATAGAAGAAAATGTGGTAGTAGGTGTAGTGGAGGTGATAGTGGGTTAGGTGAAGTGGAGTGTGTGGTGAAGTGGAGGTAGGTGAAGTGGAGTGTGTAGTGGAGTAGGTGTAACAACTCTCATACTGTTTACTGATTTATGACTGATCGATTACCGACAATCACCGGTTACTGTTAAACGAAACGGATAATGACTGATAACTGACTGATAATTGAACTGATTGAAAGTACTGAACTGACTGACTGAAACTGGAAACCGAATTGATTGAGTATATGTGAGTTAAATTGCATTATATCTGTTTGACTGTATGATTATCTGTTCATGTTCATATGTTTAAACTGCTAATTGAAGGCCTTATCGGCGGCCGAATCTGAAACCGATTAGTGTTCTGTGACCCTCGTAATTAATGTGATTTTATGGTAGGAATCTGCCTTCCAGGAGTTGAAAACTCGATTAGTGACTGCACCAGTTCTTACCCTACCTTCAGGTACGGATGGTTATACTGTATTTAGTGATGCTTCTCATAAGGGT